AAACATGATTGATAACGGCTCCCCATATCATGATTATTATTAGATACCTCCGAATGAGTCCAGAGCGGTTTGACCATTTGTTGTCATTAGTGGGTCCACATAGAGCAAAACAAACGACACGTCTTCGCGAAACTATCTGCCCATCTGAAAGGCTGGTGATAACGTTGAGATATTTGGCCAGTGGCGATTCTCAGCAATCCCAATCGTTTAACTTCCGAATAGGACGAAGTACTGTTTTTAGAATAGTGAAAGAGACATGTGCTGGAATCTGGAAGGCATTGAGCTCTCAGTACTTGAAAGCACCTGCAACAATGACCGATTGGAAGGAAATATCCAAAATCCTCTTGGACGAATGGGACTTCCCGCACTGTCTAGGAGCACTAGATGGGAAGCATATAATGATTGAATATCCAGCAAGAGGAGGTTCTGACTTTTTTAATTACAAAGGTTTTCACAGTATTGTACTGTTAGCAATCTGTGAGGCAAAATATTGCTTCACAATGGTTGATATTGGAAGCTTTGGCAAGGACAATGATGCCAATTTATTTAATCAATCATTGTCATTGGAAAAGGCTTTGCATCGGGTTCATTTAACATCCCAGAAGCAGAAAATGTTGGTGCGTCGGAAAAACTGCCTTATGTTATTGTTGCTGATGACATTTTTGGTTTAAAAACATATCTAATGAAACCATATCCTGGAAGCAACTTAACTGAGTCCCAAAAAGTATTTAACTATAGACTTAGCAGATGTCGAAGGGTTATCGAAAACGCATTTGGCATCTTATCAGCACGTTGGAGAATATTTCGGCGACCAATCAAGGCGAAACCTTGTAATGTTGACAGTATTGTTAAAGCTTGTGTTTGTCTATACAACTATTTACAATTAACAGACAATGCTCATTATGTTCCAAAAGGCTTTGTTGACAGAGAAGATGGAAGCGGTGCAATTATTCCAGGGGATTGGCGCTTAATTACCTGTAATAATTCAGGTGGGATGAGATCTTTGCTGCAAAGAATAAGTATGGCAATGATGCGAACACAAGGGAATGCTTTGAGAAATATTTCAACAGCAGAAAAGGCTCAGTGGCTTGACAATTAAAACATGTAAGGAACTGTGGGGAGGATTTTGCTACTGCTACATACAACAAGGAAGACATGTAAACGTTTATTGAGCACATAACATTGTTTGTATATAAAGTTAAATATGATCACTATAATGATAGCAACAATATCAAACAGTTCAACAAGTGTCACTGTTCCACATTAACTGGAGTCTGTAACTTTAAAGTAACAAGGGTTGATATTTCATGATGTACATCTGCAATACATGCTGAAAATATCATTTTCAACTTCCGCCTACACTAGATGACATAACATTTCCAAATTCCAAGTCAAAAAAGATCTTTTCCATGCAATGCCTGACATAAACCTTTAATCTGTCATCCAACTTGCTCATTCTTTCAGCCAAACTTAAACAGTAGTGGACATCAGCTGACATAGTTGTGTTTTCATCTTGCAGTTTGCAGGAGGCCTCAAGTGACTTCTGAAAGCTGTGCATGACTTTGCAAAGTTCTAGATCAGCATTTGGCTGCCTGTGCTCATTTGACCATGGCCTTTTTACACAAGCTGGTGATTTTTTTTGCTTTTTGGCAGACCACGTTACTTCAGCATCCGTTGCACTAGTACTTTTGACAAAAAATTGATGAAAATTAAAATATGAAAAACACAATTGTAAGGTACTGTTTACATGACATCACACCTTTCGAGTATTTCAAGGGAAGGTTTATATTCTGAAACACAAACTGTTTCCTCCTCATCTTCTTCTTCCCTACTAGTATCCATACTTGTACCAGAAACTTTGAGTGGCTCTTCAGGTATAATAATATTTGATGAAGGGACACAACCAGCGCAAATGTTCGTATTTGGCCTCCAATATTACCGAATCACTGCCAGATCCAGAAGGCGGCTTGCAACTTTTAAGATACCGCGAAAAAGTGGTTCGAATGCTCTCATATCTTTGTTTGCACGTATTCACATCCATGTCTGTATGAAGGGATGCGATCTCTTTCCACGCATTGGACTTGATATTCTTGTGCTTGAATTGAGCACTGCTACGGTTGTATATACTTGGAAACTCTTTCATAATTTCCATAAATGAACAATCATTCCCGAGACTTTGTAGCTAAATTTTTTAAATAGGCATGCAATTGCACTTCCACTCCTTGGTCATTCGCCATTTTGAAAAGCTGCGAGTGTCGGATTCTGGTCGGATTTCGTGTTCACACTTGTCGTAAGTTGTCGTACGAATCCCCGATTGGCGCAGTTTTACTGGGACATCGGAATCAAATAGAAAGCATACCTATTTTCCCGATGCTTATGACTCTGTCCCAGATTATCTGGAATCTCGTATTTGCCATGTTCAAACTTATCAATTAACTACTGGGACGGTCGCATATGATAAAATTCTACGATTTTTCCGACTCTTACGACTAGTGTGAACCAGGCTTAATGTCTAACATTGTATGAACGTTGTTTAAACGTTAAGATGAACGTTAGATTAAGGTTATTTTTTGGTCGTCGGCGTTGTTAATGTCTAACGTTGTATAAACCTTGTTTAACCCTTTAAATACCAGTGTCTGATATATCCAATGAACTCTACAACAACTGGAAGGCTAACTCATTATACACAAACCTAGACTTGTTTGGGAATTGTGACGATTAAAATGGAGAAACCATACAAGTTTCCGTTGCTTTACAATGGCTAGGAGCTGTTGTTGTTTGCCTGTAGCATCATCAATTTGTTGCCTGACAAACTGGTTGGTCTTGTGCTCTGAGTAATGGATGCCTAGTAGTTTTCTGTAGCACTTGTTCTAAAATGCCTTGATCTGCCTTTCAGTTTCTGCATTCAAAGTCCAGCTTTCACATCCATACATCCATACAAGAAGATAGAAATCACCAGTGATTTGTATAACTTGATCTTAACAGGGAGGCTGATGTTTGTTCTCTTCCAGATGGTGCCGAGTCTAGTCATTGCTGCTGTAGCTGTGCTTAGCCACAATTCCCTGGCTAAGACCATACTCCAGGAAACCGTAGGAGGACGTAGAAGAGGCTGTTAACGAAAAACCTGGTTCGACAATGTTAAAGAGTGGACTGGACACATACTAAGCAAATTGCTGAGAATGACAAAAGACCGAAGACAATGCAGATCCCTGACTGCAGTCTCTATTATGACACCCTTACGACATCTAAATGTCACGGGACTGACATGACATGACATGACAGACTTGTTTGAAGCCGCATAGAAGCTGATTTGCCGCTTTGCGTGTATCTCGTGTGGACTGTTTTATTTGCGTGAGTCGAGAAGCTTTTATAAAAAAACGGCATGGCTTACCATGTAAATATTTCAGGGCGGCTAAAAACTTCAAATACTTCAAAATTGGGTTTGAAATTTGAAAAGCTGCGTGATCAAATCTAAAATAAAATCGACAAGAGACGATGGGTGTAATTATTTGCTTTATTTTGTGAAAAATGAAAATGTGATGTGCGCGAATCTGCTTATGAACAGTTGAACATGGAAGGTAATCTCTTTCTTTAAAAATTTAGAAAAATAACAGGATCAGAAAACGTTTCACTGATTTTTGAATAAAATGAGCTTCGTCAGATGATGCCGGTCGCTTTGTTGTTCTTTTGCTACAACTGATTTGTTGTAACGTTTTCCATACGTGAATAATCGAAGCTTGAAGTATCTCTCTGCTGTAAGTTTGATGAGCTTAGACCTGTGTTCTTCTTCCAAATGATTTGTTGTAACGTTTTCCATACGTGAATAATCGAAGCTTGAAGTATCTCTCTGCTGTAAGTTTGATGAGCTTAGACCTGTGTTCTTCTTCCAAATCGCCTTTTACCAATACAGTCTCGTGGTCTTCAAACACTCGATGGCTGGAATTCATAATGAAATAATTGCAGACTTTTAGGATCATTCTTTGCTTAATATTTTTGTAATTAAACATGCTTCGGGGTTAGCTTGTTGCCAAGGGTAAACCCTCACTTTCCTGGAGGGTGGTTAAGGACTCAAAAAACTCCCATTTAATCGAGTTCTTTTTGCCATCAACAAATGATTTCAAATGATGTAGGGCATTTCTTGCTAATTTCAACATATGACATGGATCAAGGATAGCGTAGATGTAGTACTTTTGTGTAGGATGTTTGAATTTTGTGATTATTGTGTTGTAGGATGTTGTGAAGGTGCAATCAAATTGTCTGAAGATTGTAAGGTTTACTGCTGTGCCATCTGTTGTGATTGACCACACACGAAGTCCTGCTTCAGCTGCCAATGAAAGTGCCATATTGGCAAGTTCAGCTTGTGTTTTGCCACTCATTTTGTTTGCAAGAAAATATCCTATTGGACATTTCCAGTGACTTCGTGCACCCACAAGAAGAAATACAATGGCTTCAGTTGCAATTTCACATGTCTTTTCAGTTGGTATTGGTCCATAATCAACAAAGTCCACATATCTCTTTTGATTTGCATCCCACAAGGTTTGTTTTCTAATTTCCATCCTATCTCTTACAAGGAAGGCATCTCTCTTGTCTGTAGATTTTTTGACTTCTTCTGATAATGAAATGAATGCTTCCTTAATGAATCCAGGCTCATATTTTTAAGTGCTGGACCATTTTTATCATTGATTGATTTGTAAGAGGCTATATTGATCTAACATACTCATATGCCTTGGGTGAATAATAGATAATAGTTGTTGAAAATTCTTTCACAGCGTCTGAATATCTTCGTGCACAAGGTGCACAATTAACATTGTTTTTGGTGTCTCTAAATATTGAGAGTTGTATCTGGTCAAACTTCGCATGCAAATGTTCAGCAGCATCACTTGATATAATCAGTTTTTCTTTTAGTTCCTGAATAATGTCCGTCATTGTTTGTTGTTTTGCTTTAGTCCGCCTTAGTTGTTGTTGCAATCCTCAAATTTTTCTTTTTAATTTTCCTTCCAGGTATGTTCTTGACTCATTTGCTTCTCAAATGTGTCATATCCGCAGCAAATGTTGCTGGTGTCGTGTTGTTAGCAATTGTTGCTGGGCTTGTAGCCATAGTAATTGTTACTGGAGTTGCAACTGTAGATGTTGTGGGTTTGAATATTTGATAGTTGAACAGAACATTCAATGCCAAGGTTATGGTTGCAATAAAACAGTAAGCCTAGAAATATAAAGATAAGTAGCTATATATACTAGTGTATAATTAAAAAGTAAAAAAACTTAATCAGGGTTGTACTTGATATAAAGGTGTAAGAAGGTAACCATTTGACCATGTGACTGACTAACCGTAGAAGAAAAAAGATAAATACATTTCGGACGACTTTTTGCCGCTTCATTCTCCAGATCACAAAATAAATTCTCGAAAAAATTTTTCTTTTCGTTAAATAATCTGTGAAAAGTGTTAGACATGAGACAACCGGCGATAAGCAACATCACAGTCCATATCATCGTGTTGATGAACACCTAAAGTTGGAAATTTATAAAAGATTTAAAATTTTTTAATTTTATTAGGGGATCTTTAGAGTAGCATAGGATATGTTGTCCTTCATGAACTAAAGTTGTAGAGCAATGAAGCGTTACATCGTTTTAATGCTAACAAATATTACAAGAAAAAAATGTTTTTCATGCTATATTTAAAACAAATACTCTTTTATCAAATAAAAACGGCCGATTTTGTTTACCTATAACTATTGGCCAGTTAATGATGGTGAATTGCTCATGCAATCCTATTAAAAAGATCACAAGCATCACCATGGCAACAATTAAAGAGGTAACCATGGCAAACATTCCAAAATCTAAGCTTTCTGTCCCTGCCCAAGAAATTAGGGCATAACCTGCATCGTCTAAAACCAGCCTCATTAAAACGATCGTACATAGTAGCATAACGTACAGAAGAATGAAATGTTGCATCTATATTATATCCATAAAAAATGTGATATACATAGCATATCAACTGCAATACATTTATGAGTCAGTCATAAGTTTAGATAAAATGATTTACTCACAGACGCGAATAATTTATCGACACATTGACTCGTTTTTAGAAACGAAAGGCCTTTCAGTATCGTCCACATGTTTGGCTTTGATGATTGTATATAAAAAAGAAGAGTAAATTATCGTAAATTGACACAAAAAATGAAGAGCGAAAATTATTAATCGAAGGCAATTTACGTTAAATTAATTCGTACTCTGAGGCAAAAGAGCTGAATGTTTTTAGAAGAAGGTTGAAACTTCATCAAATTTTTTTAATTTCATGATTTATCAATCCCAGAAAGAAACGACCTTTGATTATGAGTCGAAGAAATTTAAAGATCTAAATGAGCGGCAACGAAGAAAGAAGTAGCATAGTTAAATTTCCAGCCAGCATTTAAAACTCACCAAGAATAGTTTCACAGTTACTTTCAAATAGTGTGGAGTTGAAAATTGAAACGCGTTAACTGTAGTTCAAGAGACTCGCGCTATACAACTAAATTGTTTGATCTGAGTTTTACTCAATAGTTCACAACGGGAAGCTATGCATTATTTACGAGCAACTTGTAAGCTAAGGAACTCACCTGCATCATAAGTAGGTAAAGCACAGAAACAATTTTGTAACAAAGGAAGAAGATTGCGCAGTTTAATTTTCGTTGATGAGCTGGCTGCTATGGAGTTATACAAATACTTCGTTTTTCCTTTTTTCTATCTTTTTCTCTAATTTAATTTAAAGAATCGCATTAGCACAACAAGAGGCAGTAGGAATTTTTATTCTACAGCAAGAAAAACAAACTTTATCAACAATTTGCTGAGTAAATTGGTCCTGCATGTTTAATGAGATTAGTAACTGCAGTTAACCATTTCATCATTCCTATTGGTCAAAAAATGGAACAGACTGTCTGCCATTTTGATGATGACAAGTGTAATAAGATATACGTTGCCAAATTTTCTATGAGCTATTTCTCCAACATATGGAGTCTTCTTTCTGAAGTGAAAACGCTTCATCCTCAGGCTTTTTTGCCAATATTTCTTTTCATAAGTCTTTCACTATCCATATGGTTATTAACACTATTAAAATTCCGTATACCTTGACACAAAGAGATGATAATATTTAAAGACGCTAACACGAGTAACCTCATCAACTTAAGGGGCGCATGAAGAAGCTATTTACAGCAACTATAAAATTGCACATTAAAGTTATTTACAAAACGCTACAGACAAAAAAATTGATACTTAGAATATGACATAGTGTATAAGGTTATAAGTCAATTACGTAATCACAATTGATTTCAATAGAAATTAATAAAGTAGAACGTGTATTATAAAAATATTACCCCTCCGAACCAATTATCAATCTTCGGCCACCCTAGTTACTTTTTACCAAATAATACTGTACATTTTCAGTTTATCTATGATAATAGGGACCTTAGTTAAATAATCAGTTGAAACTCAGTTTTTTTGCTTCATTTATTTAACAGAAGTACAGTTATAAGTAAAATCGGTGACAAAAACAGCTACAGTTTCAACTGATTATATAACTAATGTCACTGGCGTCGTCGTACAAGTTCTGCTTTTGAATAAAGGATAGTTTAAGTTTGCATCGACTGCAAAAATAATGGTTGCAATGAAACAGCAAACCTGAAAAATAGAAATAAGTAGGCTAAATATTTGAAACACTCAAAAACTTTTCTTTGGCAGACGAATACTTCATGTAAGTGTGTGGCAAAATGTGATTAAGTAGTCATTTAACTCATTGATATGTATAAAACATGGATCGCGCATCACTAATTAATTTGAAGCCGGAAGGCGGCCATATTGAACAGTCCCACTTCAGGAGGTTGTCATACAAATTATATTAATTTCTGCCGTGACAAAGTGCGAGAAGCATCTCTTATGATGCATTGACAAAACTGCTACGTATTAGCTTTAACAAGATTAAGTGTAGGAAGCAATTGTACTATTAAGAAAAGTTTTTTCCCAAAATCTTCGTGACACCATTTGAGAGATACTATCGCAAAAGAATGCTTCTAGCTTCACGTTGAAAGATTTTTTAAGGTTTATAAGTACAATGCGCTCCAAAATTTATTGCTATCGTGTTTTTTTATCATTGTGAGTGGGACTGCTCAATATGGCGGTGCATCTAATTTTAGGTGTCTACTTCCAGCTTCAAATTTTTGCACTAACGATATCGGGAATGCACGATCCATGTAATATACATATCAATGATTTAACTACGTGAATGACTAACCGTAGTACTAACAAGATGAAAGCATGTTACACCGACTTTATCAGTGTCCAGGGAATTACATAGTGTATTAGAGATATTCTTGCTATAATATTTTCGAAGAGTGTTGGACATAACACCACAGGCTATTAACAGCATTACACCCCATAGCACCATGTTGATGAACACCTAGAAATAGAAATTTAAAAAAATTTCAGAATTCTCTACGAGAAAACGAAATATAACAATGAGTACGATACATTTCATCGACAAAAATACTGCGCTATATTGTCTTGATGACAATCATTGATTTAACAAAAACAAAATTTCTTTGATATTGTATACCTACCGTCAATGGCCAGTTGATCACAGTGACTTTTTCATGCAATCCAGTTACAAAAACAACGACCATCACCATGACAACAATCCATGAGACGACAATTGCAAACATTCCAAAATATAAGCTACCTTTTCCTCCCCAAGGGTTAATGTACACGTAGGCATAAAATATTATTTCAGCTCGTGGGTTTGGTGATATAAATTTATTAATAGTGTGATTACACAATTTATATCACAGGCAAAGGAATAATTATATAATTATTATTATATACAACTCAAGGCTTCGACAGTGCTTTATCCATTGCAAGGAATGTTTTGACGACAAACTTACGATTTAAATACTAAAGCTAATACAATAATCACTACGTTTCTTCAAAGATAATAAAAATTTAATCATTGTGAAGCCAAGACAACCAATAATACGCTATGTCACTATTCAGACCATAGCGCTGCTATCTGCAACTTGTCTCTTTAAGACTAAAGTCTGGTTCTCATTAAGTCGCTTGAGTCATCCGAGTCGTTCCAAGTAGTTCCTAGTTCTTTTGTTGTTTTTCGGAACGACTGGGACGACTCAAGCTATGGAATTCTCATATATTCGTACATGCGCTGCCGAGACTGTATAATTGATTTCTGCGCAAAAAAGCGAAAATGACAGCTGCTGTTTATGAAAGACAATATCTTTTGGCTGGTTATTTGCTTCTTCAAATCATTTTTTGCCATAAAAAGGTCGCTTGTAATTCTCAACGGTCGTTTCGGTCGTCCGGATAGAGCAAAGTTCTATCCAAGCGACCCTGGTCGTTTTAGTCGTTTGAGTCATTTAAGGTCATCCCGGTCGCCTTTGCAATTTTCTCACATAGTCACACGAGTCGTCTATGAAATTTTGGCACGACTAAAACGACTCAGACGACTTTATGAGAACCAGTCTTAAACAAACAATCTAATTTACGCATGCTGTTTTAGTAAGAAAGAGCAGTTTATCAGCATGGGTGAAGATATCTGTAAAACATTTAAAATAAATCCGTCATTTTTTTTATAACCACGTTAAATTGTGGCCTTAAAATGATTGAATTAAGGGGCTTAATAGCAATTCTCAAAGACTCAGGTCTTTGTAATTGCTGGTCTGGAGGAGGGAAGGATGATTATCTTTCGTGGGATTTTATTTTCTCTTTCACTAACAACTGGTTTCAATTATTTACGAGTTTCAATTAAATTTGCTCTTGCAATAATTTATTCGTAAATCCACCTGCTATAATAAAGAGTAGCGTATTTCGAATAAAGCTAGAAATTGCAAGAAATGTATTGCTTCTGTAACATATGCAGAAAAAGAACTTTAGTGTTAGGTGTTGGACTGTCTATAAACAAGATGGGTATAATGATGTCGCAAAGAGACAATTAAGATGGTGCTTTTTAGTCCATCATTCCTATAAAGCTTATCAACTTAAAATAAATAATTCCCTATGTACTTTCAGACGATAAGCAAGGATCCCAAACACGAAGTACACAATATCCAACGCTATTCTGCGTTAGCATTGTATGAGCTCGATAAGCCATCAGTCCAGATCCATGTAACGAATCACCATAAGACAAGCTTTCGACTGATTTATCTCTTTTTAACCTTTGACACCCCCTTATTCCGTCAAGAAACCCACTTGTCAGTCAAACATGATTCCAGATCAGTTAAAACTCAATTGAACTTGTAACCTGCGAGATTTATACTGGCTTATTGCCCCTTTATCTATCTTATTATTGTTTCTAGAAAAACAACCTGGCAATGAGTTAAAACATTTGATATATTCTTCTGACAAAGCCAGTCAGGTGTCTGATACAATTTCCCTCGACCTTGAGACTAAACCAAAGGTAATAATAGAAACCCTTTCTAACCAATTTTTGAATAGATAAATGAGAAAACACACTTCAAATTTCATGAATCTTCGGACACTTTTTTACACGGACTTTTTACCGCAGCTGACACGGGAGTTTTCTCGGCCGTAGCCGGCGAAAACTTCGGTCAGAGTCGGTGTTTTCTCGGCTGAAAAGCCGGAAATAAAAGAACCACTAACCATCACTAACGGTGACCACTAATCACACTCATAACAATCCTCCACTAAGCCATGGTACGCACTACACATACGAGCTTCTGGCAACTCACCTTCAGGGGCGAAACTAGAATGTTAAGTGGAGGAACGTGAATATTCATGATCGTGACTAACACCACACGAGTACATACGAGCATATATATACATAGTACATGAGTGACATACGACTACATACTGTTCACAAGTATATATATATATATATATATACTAACCCTAACCCTAACCCTAACCCTAACCCTATATAGTCGTATGTCACTCGTATGTACTCGTATGTCAGTCGTATGTACTTTTATGTACTCGTATGTACTCGTGTGTACTCGTATGTACTCGTGTGGTGTTTTAGTCACGATCGAATATTCATATATTCAGCTTTGCTTGACTGATTTGGTTTGTCTGCGATTAGAGTAGCTGAATGTAGGAATATTCTTCCCACCCCTCCACATAACGTTTTAGTTTAGCCTTGGTCTCCTCAGCATATCTTTTTCCATTTAAGTTCAATTGCTTTTACAGCATTTGATAAAAACGAAGTTCATTAACGCGCTACACAATTCAAATACGTAAAGACAAAGTGCATTAGCGTTTGTTTAACATCAATATGGCAAATCATTAATTCCAATGAGATCACTTCATTATTCATTCTTTAAAGCGAAAGTCAACAGCGTGAGTCAAATGTCAAAAGCATTTAGTGAGCATTTATTAAAGTTTTGGAAAGTACAATAGCATAATAATAAATAACATTAAAACTCTATAAAATGTCAATAACAATATATGTTTGCAATGGCATGATTATAACCATCAATATAGCAGAACTATTTATCCGTACGGTGTCTGCCATTTGAAGATAGACTTGAGAAAGTTTTTCAAATGTAGGAACTAAAATTTGTCCGTCTTCACTGTGTTTGCGTCATTTTCAAATCTGGTTGAAATACGCGCACAATAGAAACGACCACTTTCACACTTTCACATTCATACACTTAAAAAAGATAAAAAGAAAGAATCTTTAGGGTTAATCATGCAATTGCAAACATATAAGGTTATTGACATTTTATAGAGTCTTAATGTTATTTGTTATCATGCTATTGTACTTTCCAAAACTTTTATGAATAAACGCTTCATTCTTTTAACTATCCCTTCGCGTTATTGATCTTTACTATTTGGAATGCCTAATGAAGTAATCTTATTTAAACTGATCATTTGCCATATTGATTTTACAAAAATGCTATTGAACTTTTTCTATACGTCTTTGAATTGCGGTATGCGTTAATGATTGTCGTTCTTATTTAAATGACATGCAAATGCTTAAACTGACGTATTTAAAATATGTCTCTGTTGACTTGAGTGAAATTGATTCTATAGCGGAGAGTCAATCTTCTGTTGTAGCTACAGACTGAAATTCAGACCTTCAAACTTGCTTGTAATGTAAGAGATGAATTTTTTTTTTATAGACACTAGAGCCGTACATTTTAGGCAATAATTAAGACAAGAAGTGAAGATGTTTTTAGCAAATAGAGGTCAAACTTCAACATTACCGTTCTAACTATTTGTACTACATTGTATTTTTTTTATGATCTTCCAAAACTTACTTGGTGTGTATTGCTTCTTTTTGAAGTTATTCTCATTTAAATCTAGATTCGTCTGCCCAATCAACAAAAAAAAGGAAATGTGTCAGTTATTAAAACAGCAAGAGAAACTGACCGACACGAGGTTAAAGGATCTGAAAGAGCTCCGAAGCAGGTGATGTTTGTTTTTATTGATGTTTTATGCGATATCCATGAATGTCAATGTTGACAGATAACATATTTTTTTCTTACAAATAACGTGCGAATTTTTTGTCATTGAAACGCTATAAAACATTAAAACTAACCCAAACCATGTACGCTACTGTTGAAAGCAACTGAATAAAATTTTGCTCAGTATGTTTTAAAAAACTTAGGAAATGTATTCCCAACACATGCGCTCAATGCTTACTGTAGTAGAAATGTAAACAGGGAATGTTTACAGTAGTAAAAATTTTACCTTATTTGGATATACCATAGCCATGTATTTGCATACCGCGCGACGTTGGAATGAAAAGAACAATTAACCAATACAAAAGTTAACATATTAAAGTTTATATCGTTTGAACGTAATATATGATTTAAATTATTGGATTTTGTTTAACGAATGTTCCCGCCAGTCCGTGAAGTGTAATGATATTTTTCGTTTCTATGCAAAGGAAAAGTGCACATTGAACTAAGGTAGCTAGAAGCCCCAAGAAATCCATTTCCAGAAAGAAACAAATTTTGAGATAACGGTTGGAGGAAATTGGCAGTGAAACACAAAATTTTACTGAATTTGATCAAATTCCTGTTAAATTTCCATCCACAAAATGTAACACTAACCAAGAATAGTTTCACTACTAATAAGGATAAGCCAGAATAAAGTGAAGTTGAAAACTAAAGGTGGAAGCACACGATCTTTAGTTTCACCGTTTGATACACTCATACCGAAAATGAACTGTACGAAAGCAGATCTCACAGCATAGTTTTAATTGAAGATAGCTCGGTGTGTATTTCTGTAACATTTCAAGAGAAAATTCATCAAAGTTCGCTTGTTCGGGAATTTCTTTGATGTTAGCTTGCATTAAAGTCCGTAATGCCAATTTTTGTTTTGGTGGACTTTGCAAAGACCATAAAGTATGCAGCTTTTGGTGCGCGATTTACGATAGAATCTTAGTGTCTAGGCGCTAACGTTCAAAGTTCAAACTACCCAAAAATAATGTTCACGTTTTATTTGAGTAAAAAAGCATGCTAAAACTACTGTTACATAAAAGTAAAACAAATGAAAATGAAAATGACACCTTATATATAATCAGTGCATATCTATGATAATAAACGAAGCTTTAATTGTCAAAGAAAATATGGCAAAAGTTCAATCCGCTGTCAAAAAGAACCGTTCAAACATTCAAGTAAACCGTTGGTAAAAAAGAGAGTTTGACCGCCCTATGTAGAAGTCTTTTCAGGTGCAGAGGCCGTAGCCGAAGATGTGTCACTTTGATCTCTTTGTATACGGAAGTTAATGAAAGCATCAACTGCAAAAAGAATGCTTGCAATGAAACAGCAAACCTAGAAAATAGAGTTAAGTGATGTAAAATTGACAAACTTTCATGAGTGGGCTTATACTTCATATAAGGTTCAAAGAACGTGACTAAGAAACCATTTCAACTTGTTAATGCTAACCGTAGCACCAATAAGATGACCACATGTTGCACCATGGTTTCCTCTGTCCAGGTAATCACAAGATGAAATAGAAGTGAACGCAATATTCTTATTAAACTTGCGAACAGTATCAGCTAGGAGACAACCAGCTATGAACAGCATTACAGACCATATCAAACAGCTGATAAACACCTACAATTAGACATTAACGAGTATTTTGCATTATAGAATTCCTAATTTAAAAAAATAAAAAAATAAAAAACAATCGATCGCGCGCGACAATTTGCACTGAATGGAAATCAGCCATTAAGTGCAGTATTAACAAAAGCGAAATCCGTCCAATTTGTTTACTTACCGTCAAAGGCCAGTTAATGATGCTAATTTTTTCATGTAGTCCACTAACAAAGAGAACGGCCATTATAACGACAACAATCAATGACACGACAACTGCAAATATTCCAAAATCTAATCGACTTTTTTCTGACGTAACGTCTATTTTGTCCAAAAATCTTCCCAGGGTACCAATCGCAACCAACAGTATAACCTAAAGATAAATTTGGCGCTGTAAAATTTATGCATCTAATGTATAACATACAAAATATAATATGTGCATACGCTCAGAAATATTGTATATTTGAAAAATGTTGTTTATCAAAGAGTCTTCCACTATTGAAATAAAATAATTAACTTACAAATTCTGCTATCTTCAAGAAAAAAGGAACCGTTTTGATGTACTCAGTGCCTTTCGGTATCGTCCCCATGTCTGGCTATAATGCTGGTATAAAAATTGAAAAGTAAATTAAATTAACGTAAAAGTGTTAAAGAAGTGACACGTCAATATTATTTACTTGTCAAATTAAATACTTTAGTTCAGCTCACATTATATGCCAGCGAAGCACAAAGCATCATGGCGTACAATATTTTACGCTTTCATTCATTTCAGATATAATTTCATCCACAAAAAGTAACACTTACCAAGAAAAATACAGCTACTTTAAAGATGAGCAAGGATGGCGAGGACTTGACAACTTAGAGTTAAAAGCTGTAATTTGTCCTTTATATTGACTCATGCTGCGGATGAACTGTTCAAAAACGTATCTTATTGCATAATTTTAAGAAAGCTTATGCATTATTGATATCATAAAAATCAAGAAAGAGGAACCAGCCCAGATTGTAAAATAGATTGGTTAAGACCGAGTGAAGATTGTTCAAAAAATGGTAGTATAAAAACAAATTTACACATCCAAATATTTTGTTGAGTTAATATAATATTAAAAATATTTCGATTTTATTTTTCTATTTTCTTCTCTACATTCCTTGTTCTTTGCATTATGAATAACAATCGCACTGGGTGGATACAGCAGGATGTTTTAATTCTGTAACGCAAATTTTTTTATTTCCTCAAAATTTTACTTCCTCATGTTCCATTGAGTAAATACCAAAGTATTTGTATTTCAAGGGTGAAATATTACGATATTCTTTAATGATAATCAAATCGTTTTGACTAATTGACTTTTAAATCTTTATCATACATTTTTTCGACAATGAATTGTAACATGTTTGTAGATGTAGATCGTCCAGGTTAGCAGGGACGCCGGAACGGCAAAGGGGCAGGAGGGGCAAGCCTTTGTGGAAGGGCACATTAGTGAAATATACTAAAAATAATCTCATATTGATAAACAGCAAAGAGATGTGCTACATGCAATACACTGTACAGAAGCACATGTCCGCAGTGTTGTCGATGAATATTAACGCTAATATAACTATCAAACCTTATAACGTCACTAATTTACAATTTGTCATGTATTGTATTTTCCAAAATATTCAATTCTTCTTTCATTTGTCTGTGAAAACCCTTTGGCAATTACGTCTATTTCCACCATATCCATGTGTTGTTTCTGAATGTTGTCTTCGTTTACAAACGTCCTAGCAATAAAATTCATGTGCGATTCAAAATGTGTTATATTTTATTACGTTATTCAATGGGGTTACTACTTTATTTCAATTTCTGAAGTTTATTGCAAGATATTTCAGAATAAAAAACACTTCAGGAACACTTTTTGCGCACGCAAAATATCTCAACTGTTATAATCGAAAATTTAAGAAACAATTTTACTAACCTATGCCGTATGTCACTGCCTCTTAATACCTTTAAAAAAAACAAGCTTCTTCAATGACAAGGCGTCAAAGCCTGAAAAGTCTCAAGAAGTTTGAGTAGTTGATATCAATCATTTGTTACTTAAATTTTGTGATCCAATTGTTTCATTAATTTGAAAAGAATTGGTTGTGGCGTCCAACCACAATTTTAAAGAGATGTGTAGTCTTGGTAGTTGTTTTAATTCAATTAGATTTTTAAGAGGAAATACAAAAAAGATGAAAATATAATTAAATTTAGAGTGTAGTGTAGTAGCTAAATTTTTAAACTTGACAGTTTTCGTGAGCATGTGTAAGTGTGTATAAGACACTTGCGAGTTGATATGGCATGTGATCATAAGTAATGTGAAGAAAACATGAGACCTGTACTCAATAATTATAAAATTTTATTTACAACTTTATTTATGAAGATCATTAATTGTTTGTTGACTTCCCTTGGTTGCAGCAACTATCGTAGTTTTAAAAACTCATAGAAATTTACTATTTTTCAACACTACAAATACTTGAGGTTTGCAATGAAATACAATACTACATACACTTCATAATGCTTTAATTCAGTTAATCATTTATATAGTATATTCAAATGAGTTTTTTATGATAATGTTTAATGGCAAAAACGTAACACAAAGGTCAATGCATATAATGTTTTTACTGCCTTTTCAGGGATTACCATGTTACCGATTGTCGCTTGCCAACCTTCAAGAAAAATAAAACCAAATCTCATACTGACATAACCAGCATGATTAATTAGTTATGCCACAAAACAAGTTCTTTTAAACATCCTGCTAGCCAGAAGATTTCCAAAGTGAACAGATTTTAGAATCAACATTGCAAAAATAAACTTGCATGTTAGCCACGTCTCTGAGGCAAACACGTTCGGTATGATATTGAGTTAATTATGATTGAACACATCTATTTATTTAAAATGTACATATATGTCCTGGTAGACATTTACTACTGCAAAAAATCTTTAAAAGAAACTTCTGAAACATTAGCAGGAGTTTTTAAACTTGTTTTCATACTTGTAGAGCACCAATTCTATAAGGAAAGTATGCTGGCCAAAAGATAGGAAATTGATACAAACAAACAAAAAACACATTTCCGTCACAGTTACAATGTATCAAATAATTTGATTAAAATGTTCTTTAGGTAGAACTATGATTCAGTATTGAAAGCATGCTAGCAAAAGACCATAAATTGATATGAAGAAAGGTGCTTTTTACACGCAAAAAATCAGGACAATTCAATTAATTTTATTAAAATATGAATACTAGCTGTTTACACTGTAAGGTCAAATGTATATTCTTAAAGCATGTTTAAAGTAATTAGCGAATTAATTTATGTAAAAAATGGTTTATATCTAATGTAAGTGTGTTTACAATTCTCACTTTTCAAAGCTTCACTAAGAGATTTTTCACCTTCATCACCTATCTATTTATGAAAAAGAGACAATTCTGTAAGTTTACAATTCTCACTTTTCAAAGCATTACTAAGAGATTTTGCACCTTCATCACCTATCTTGTTAGAAGAAAGACCCAATTCAGTAAGTTTACAATTCTCACTTTTCAAAGCTTCACTAAGAGATTTTGCACCTTCATCACCTATACTGTTATGAGAAAGATCCAATTCAGTAAGCTTACAATTCTCACTTTTCAAAGCTTCACTAAGCGATTTTGCACCTTCATAACCTATATCGTTATCAGAAATACCCAATTCAGTAAGCTTACAATTCACGCTTTTCAAAGCTTCACTAAGAGATTTTGCACCTTCATAACCTATGTTGTTGTAAGAAAGACCCAATTCAGTAAGTTTACAATTCTCACTTTTCAAAGCTTCACTAAGAGATTTTGCACCTTCATAACCTATGTGGTTATAAGAAAGATCCAATTCAGTAAGCTTACAATTCTCACTTTTCAAAGCTTCACTAAGAGATTTTGCACCTTCATAATGTATGTGGTTATAAGAAAGACCCAATTCAGTAAGTTTACAATTCTCACTTTTCAAAGCTTCACTAAGAGATTTTGCACCTTCATAATGTATGTTGTTATAAGAAAGACCCAATTTAGTAAGCTTACAATTCTCACTTTTCAAAGCTTCACTAAGAGATTTTGCACCTTCATAACCTATGTGGTTATAAGAAAGACCCAATTCAGTAAGTTTACAATTCTCACTTTTCAAAGCTTCACTAAGAGATTTTGCACCTCCATCACCTATCATGTTAGAAGAAAGACCCAATTCAGTAAGTTTACAATTCTCACTTTTCAAAGCTTCACTAAGAGATTTTGCACCTCCATCACCTATCTTGTTAGAAGAAAGACCAAATTCAGTAAGTTTACAACTCTCACTTTTTAAAGCTTCACTAAGAGATTTTGCACCTCCATCACCTATCTTGTTAGAAGAAAGACCCAATTCAGTAAGTTTACAATTCTCACTTTTCAAAGCTTCACTAATAGATTTTGCACCTCCATCACCTATATTGTTATCAGAAAGAGACAATTTACTAAGTTTACAATTCTCACTTTTCAAAGCTTCACTAAGAGATTTTGCACCTTCCTCACCTATCTTGTTATAAGAAAGACCCAATTTAGTAAGTTTACAATTCTCACTTTTCAAAGCTTCACTAAGAGATTTTGCACCTTCATCACCTATACTGTTATGAGAAAGATCCAATTCAGTAAGTTTACAATTCTCACTTTTCAAAGCTTCACTAATAGATTTTGCACCTCCATCACCTATATTGTTATCAGAAAGAGACAATTTACTAAGTTTACAATTCTCACTTTTCAAAGCTTCACTAAGAGATTTTGCACCTTCCTCCCCTATCTTGTTATAAGAAAGACCCAATTTAGTAAGTTTACAATTCTCACTTTTCAAAGCTTCACTAAGAGATTTTCCACCCTCATCACCTATATAGTTTCTATTAAGAGCCAATTCAGTAAGTTTACAATTCTCACTTTTCAAAGCTTCACTAAGAGATTTTGCACCTCCATCACCTATATTGTTATCAGAAAGAGACAATTTACTAAGTTTACAATTCTCACTTTTCAAAGCTTCACTAAGAGATTTCGCACCTTCATCACCTATTATGTTATTAGAAAGACCCAATTCAGTAAGTTTACAATTCTCAATTTTCAAAGCTTCACTAAGAGATTTTGCACCTTCATCACCAATATTGTTAATATAAAGATACAATTTAGTAAGCTTACAATTCTCACTTTTCAAAGCTTCCTTAAGAGATTTTGCACCTTCATCACCTATATTGTTAAGAGTAAGAGACAATTTAGTAAGCTTACAATTCTCACTTTTCAAAGCTTCACTAAGGTACTTCGCACCTTCAGCTGTTATTTTAGTATGAATAATATCCAATTTGATCAGTTTACAATACTCACTTTTTAAAGCTTTGCTAAAGCATTTAGCCTCTTCATCAGTTAATATAGTTTTAAATAAATAGAGCTCAGCGTATTTACAATTCTCACTTTTTAAAGTTTTGCTAAGGCATTCTGTATTTTCATTGGTTATGGTGTGAAAGTGAACGTCAAGTTGAGTAAGTTTACAATTTTGACTTTTTAAAGCTTCAGTAAAAGCTTCAGCACTTTGTTTACTTATA